CATACCATATACATTGAACATTCATTAAATTATTTATCTTGACTATAATTTCAGGTGTAGGTATACAAGTTTCATCAATTTTAAAACACATAGCAAAATTTTAAAATTATAACTATATATGTTGATGAATTAGGCATACTGTCTTAGTTGTTGTTATGTTGTATACCTAGAACTAACATAATGTTATATACCAATTGCATAGAGATAAAAAATTTAAATATATATTTTCAAATACATGAAAATTATATGATTGATAAAACACAATTTGGAACATTTTAAAGATCCCAGAGGTAAGTAATACAATTTGTAACCATTCTAAGTAATACTTAATCTCCATTGCACAACACATCTGCCCCAAGAAACATCTAAATAAGCTGTTGTTTACAGATATAACGAAACTTCTTTCCACAGTGTCCATCCAAAATCCTTCCTCCTGGTCCATACATCATGCAGTTCTTTGGATTTACAGATTTAGGGAAAGGAAATCTGCAATGAAAAAGAAAATTTTAATATACAAGAACAGGAAATGAAAACATTCAAAGATGCGGTTCTTACTAAATGATAGGATTAGGGAACATTTAAAAGCATTTGAATGAGATATTACATACATCTTGAGTCATTATCTTCTTCATTCAAGTCATTTTTCACAATTTCAGAGTACAATGTTACCAAAACACAGTATGCTCAATAATCAATAGCACTGAGGTTGGAGATTTTTTGGTTTTATTGTTGTTTTTAATGATTTTGATATGTGTTATTCTTTGCTTCTATGTTGTTTAAAAATGTATTAACTAAGTCTAGTCCAGGAAAAAATCAGATTATAAAATTTCTCAATGTATGATGCTGCTAAATCTCATATTTAAGAATGAAAATGAGATTTGAAGCTTACAAATATACTGGAAATAAACCCAGAATGTTTGAAACATTGACCAATGCTGAGAATATCGATCTCCACCAGAATAAGAAAAATAATGGACACTGTTTTCTCTGGACTGCTTTCATACATGTGAGAATCTGTACATATGCATACATATCCAAGCGCTTGTACCAACACAGGAAACAAAATCATACGTTGAAAGCTCTTGAGCAAACACTTGGATGTTTTGGATGCAGTTAAAAATTTTATTATGTTGTATCTATTCTCTTTTTTATAGTTTCATGCCCAAAATAGGATATCTTAGTTATAATGGTCCTGGATATTCAACTCTCTGATCAGATCCAAGGATAAACTCAAAAAGAACAGAAAAAAGGGTTTTGATACCACAAACTTACAGATCTTGGGAGAGAGTAGATTTGTTCTCCCACAACCAGGCATCATGTTCTTCACCGTAAGAAAGCCCAATCCAGTAAAAACTGGTACTGAACTTCATAAAATTCTGCATGGAAACAGAGACCAACATATTAATCTATTTAGAATCTACTCTAGGAGTCATGTACATTTAGCGGTGCCAGTGTCCAGCATCAGTTTTTCAACTATACACACTAAAATCATTTTTAACTTCTAATTTGGGAAAAAGAGTCAGTCACATGCCTACTATTTCTCATTCACCAAACCCATTCATTTATGGAGGCCAAAAAAAAAAACCCTACAAAAATCTCACTTCTTGAAGGAATGAAAGATGTCATAAAGGGTGTGAGTTTTCATGGAACACTTCCTTCAAATGGGATCAATAATCAAATCTGATCCCAAATCAACTGCATCTGGAGGGATAAATCTTTACCGCAGTTTCTCCAGGAAGCTAACTTTTTATTAAGAGTTGGGTTATTATTTTATAATATTCTACATGTTCATTTCACATTATACCCGAATAATAGCAAATGTTGCATAATTACAAAATCAATTATAAATTCACTTAAAGAACTAAAAGTTAAAAGTTGTTGGAATAAAAATAATGACCTATTATTTCTTCTTTGAATACTCTCTAAAGAGTTTCTTATACTTTATCTGTCAGCACTCCTATAATGTAAACCTGAGAGAAAGTTTGGCTCGATTTTATGATGGTTTCAAAGTATAGGAAATTAGTTCAAATATAATCATCCATTTGCTATCTAATTAAAGACTTGAATCAAAGTATGGATAATATATTTTTCTGGGTCAAATAAAATGTAGAAAATAAGAATTAAATACTTACCAGTTCATTTCTGGTTTGTATCTGAAGTAGACTGGAATTATGAGAAACACAAAAATCCCTACTGTCTTTCCATGTTTTTAATTCATCAGAAACAAAATAACAGTTGCATTGGTAGCCAATCCACTTTTCTTGGCAAGAATAGCAGCCAGGTCCTAAGAGAAAAAATAAAACATGACTTGATGACATTGGAGATCCAGTTTCTTTTCAGTGCTACTTTCTCATTCAAAAAGCATTTGTTATTTATTAACTGTGTCTACAAATATTCTTTGAGCATTTACTGCATACACTACACATCAGCAGATATTTACCTGAACAACCCAGACCTGACTCTTTTTCTTCATGGAGATTATATTCTAGAGATAGAGAATGGCATGCATTTTAGTCTTTATGAACTATTTTTATTTTTATTTTTTTATGAACTATTTTTAATGCTAATCTGGGAAAGTATACACAAGAAATTCACTGTGTTCAAATACAGTATAGCAGATTGTAGGATGTGAGGTGATTAGAAGAACCCTTTTTAAGGCAGTGGTCCAAAGCTGATTTCTTCTATGTAATTAAAAGTTAACTAGATGAAAGAAGTATTAAAAGGAAGAAAGAATTATATTTTCTGAGAGAAAAATTCTGCATATTTTATTTTCAAAATAATGATAAATAAAATGATTAGCTAGAAGTCTGACCACCCAATATATTAGTGATCATGTCTTCAGTATTAACCATCCTCAGTGATAAAAGTTCTATGACATGGCAGGCATTCAAATCTTTGTCAAATAAATAATTTTGAGGGTGTAGAGTAGAATGGTGGTTAACAAGGGCTGAGATGTGGGGAAAGTAGGGAGATGTTGGTCAAAAGGTACATGGGAAATTCCTGGTGGTCCAGTGGTTAAAACTCAATGCTCTCACTGCTGAGTACCTGGGTCCAATTTGTGTTAGAGTAACAAAAATCCAAAAAGCTGTGAGACAAGGCCAAAAACAATTTTCTTTTTTTTAAAATATAAGCTTTCAGTTAGAAGATGAATTCATTCTGGGAATCTACTGTGCACCATTATAACTAGAGCTAACAGTATTGTAGTATAAATACTCATAAGGAGTAGTTCTTAAACTACTGTTTGATTTTACCACAAACAGAAACAAAATGATGGAGGTACGAGTTAGTGCTACAGTGGTAATAATATTATAAGTATATCAAATCAACACACTGCAAACATTAAACTTACGCAATATAATTTGTCAATTGTATCTTAATAAAGCCAGGAAAATGCTCAGAAAGAAAAAAAAGATATGAATGAAGCGCTATATGAACAAAGAAGATAGTAAAACAGCTTGGAGAGTGTTTGAGGGAAAAAAAAAAACAACAGCTAGATGTTTGAGCTGACTTTCACAGGTTAAGTGTTAAGTAGGGTTTAGAACTGCAAAAATCTCCATGCTGCTTTCTGAGTTATAGAAAAAGCAGAGGTAAACGTAAAGAGATATAAATGTATGGGTTATAAACAAACACAATCAGGTAATTAGGATTGGCTATAATATTTACTTTAATGTAAATATAATGTATATATAATATAAATATAAAAATATAATGTATTGTTTATTTGCTACTTAAACATGAACACTTACATTGGAAAATTTTTTTTCAGGGTAATATTTTCCTTATCATTTAAATATACAAATAATATGTATTTGACAAAATCTAATCAATTCTTATGTGAACAATGAAAGAAGACTATCCTACAACTAGCAGGAAAGTTTTTATGACTATAATATTCCATCAAGCTTCTGTGTGAGAAAAACATGAAACTGCTTATTTTATTCTCTATCAACAAGAAAGATTTCCAAAGTAGGAACCCTACCTTCCTGAAGATCTGTGGAGGGTCCAGGCTGAACACTTTGTTTAGTAAGTGCTGTAAGAAATGATTAGAAATTTACTTTATCAGACACTGTTTTATGAAATAACAAAATACTCCATATTAGAAAAATCAAAATTTTATCATAAGATAGTTTCATCACAATCTTAATCTTTTTATATAGACTTGACTAGAAAAACTTACAATTGCTTAACAGAACTCCCAAAGCAGCCATCAACAAAAGGCATATTATTCCTAAGACCCCAGAGATCAACCTCCATGTAGTGGTCTGAAAAACTATAAAGAAAGATAGGATAATGATTTAAAGATCAAATACAGGAGTTCTTAAAGGCAGAAACCAGTGAGAGAATCCAAAAAGTTCTTTGGTTTGATAACCCAATCATTTTGCCAGTAAAATGTTTGAAAATGAAGAGAGTGCATTGAGAACTCTACCCAATACCAACATTTCAACATGATGTACTTTGTTCTTCATTGAGATTATCAGTACCTTCTCTTCTTTATCAGTTCTGTCTCAGTACAATGTATTTACCATTATTTTTTAATTTGAAAAGAAGCTGAAAGATCTGTAGTAAAAAGAGATAAACAGGCAGTAAGTTCCATTTTATGGACTCAACTCTTTGTGACCCCATGGACTGTGGCTCACTAGTTTCCTCAGTCCATGGAATTACCCAGGTAAGAATACTGGAGTGGGTGCCATTCCCTTCTCCAGGGGATCTTCCCAACCCAGGGGTTGAACATGGGTCTCCCTCATTGTAGGCAGACTCTTTACTGTCTGAGCCACCAGGAAAACCCTGATATATTGATAACAAACTTATTTTGGTAACAACATAAGCATCCCAAGGTGGAGCACATGACTCCCATTAGGTAGGTTAGAAAACCTAGGATAATTTTCCTGGTAAATTTATATCTCAATCAGAATTTAGAGCTATCCTGGTCAAAATCCACTCTTTAAATCTGTTGAGAAAACTTCACAAAATCATCCCTAAGTGACAGAATGAAGAATCAGAAAAATGAAATTAAAAAGTGCTGATATATGAGAAACCTAAAACTGTACACATTTTTTCTTAACATATCACCCAAAATTAGCCATACCCATGAGATACATTTTTGGTTATTTTTATTTTTTCACTTTATGACTTGGGCTGCACATACCTGCCATGTGAGATGTTGTCTAATGTCGACGCAGATAAGGCACTGTGGATGCTTGTTCAAGGATAGCGAGGTTAGTCTGTGGAGCTAAGCTGAAGGCTACCAAAAACCCAAAAGTTGTGAAGAAATTTTAAAAAAGGAAAACTGTGAATCAAAATGTGCTTGTATCTTCTGCTGATGAGACAAGGATGTGCAGTATGAACAAGAAACAGTAAAATCACTATCTTCTAAAATGCTTCTGGAACCGCAATACAGGAAATTCTCACTGAACCTCATAATGCAGGCCATTTGACTATCACAAAATAAGGTGGGAGGAAAGTTTTTTTTTTAATGTTCAAACATCAAAGTCATCTAAAAAATTACTTGAAAAAATGGAATATATGGGCAAACCAAAGGAAAATGTACTTAGTACAAAAAATATTTTGCACCGAAGTTTCCGTTTTTAATAGTGAAAAATGTTTATTATTTACCTCATGTCAAACATGAAGCACATGGCATATGTTAGCTTATTTTTCCCTGAATGTGGCTTCACAATAAATATAAATAAATATGCTTATTTTACCAATGAGAAAAGTAAGGTATAGTAAAGCTAGGTCACATGTTTGAAACCCTGGTAGTCTATCTCTAGAGCACACATGAGATACATTTCAAATTAAGCCTCTCTCTCTCTCTCTCTGTCTATATGTTTTGTTAATTTTCATTTATTTTCTTTAATAGAGAGTGATTGGAACTTTCTAGCTTTAATGCGGTGCTTCTCGTTCTTGCCTTATTAACCCAAGTAGGGCAGGCAAAATAAAAGTAGTAGAATCAGAGGGACCTCTCCCTTCTCCTTCTTCTCCTCTTGCTCTTTCTCTCCCCCTCATTTAGTTCTCTAACTCGGTGATAAAAATCCATCAAAGATTGGTTCAGTCCAAGAATGTAAATGTCAAGTCACAAATAAGATAACTGAATGCACTCATGAATATACACACAAAAGATACAGATAGATAGACAGATGGGTAGAGTAGAAGGTAGATACCAATAAGTAGACATATGCACATGTGTATACATGTATGTGTATGTTTTACATATGTATGTCGGCTCAGTTGCTCATTCGTATCTAACCCTTTGCGATTCCATGGACTGTGTAACCCGCCAGACTTCTCTGCCCTGAAATTCTCTAGGCAAGAATCCTGGAGTGGGTTGCCACTTCCTCCCCCAGGGTATCTTCCTGACCCAGGGACTGAACTCATGTCTCCAGCAGCTGCTACACTGTAGAGGGATTCTTTACTGCTGAGCCACCAGGGAAGTCAGGTGATTGAAGAGGACTTTATATGCATATATGTGTAGATTTTATATACGTATAAAATCCTCTAATTCTCTCTAGGCTGTCAGCACTGGTTGATTGATCCCCTTTTGCACAAGGGCAGTTGAACTGTTTTTGTACCGGTTTCCCTACCGTACATCTCCACTTGAAGCAAATGTCGTCACTTCTCCCCTCCCATATCACTCGGAATATTTGTAAACTATGGCAAATCAGCAAGTGCAAATTTTCCCTCCTAGAACTGCTGAAAATTCAGCTGCTCTCACCTGACAGTCCAGAAGTGCTGAGGAATTCTCACCAGGATGGCCCTAACCAACGAGTCTCAGTGTTTGCTCTAATCCAGCAACCGTGACCTGAATATGAGGCAGTTTTGAGCATTATCTTTTTCCCCATTCACCAGGTTCACTCAATAGCATTAGCCTCCAGTCTCCTCCTCTAGTATCTGGATTAAGAGAATGACTTTTATTGTGTTCTACATTCTCTTTCCTGTATTAACATTCCCTCCTTTATCCACACACATTCCAAATATGCTTTTCACTCAAACTTTATCGGGAGGGGTCTGATGCAGAGAGAACCCAGACTGAAGCTCCACTGAGATGTCAGCTTCACTTACGTGTTTGTTTCTCCTTCCAGAAAATGCAGGGCTCTCAGCAGAATCTCCTCTCCCCAAGTGTTCACCGTAGGAACGACTTTTCTCCCCTGTAGTTTACTCATGCCCTTGACCAGTGCCCATGTTGACTCCAGTAACTAAAAGACCATTCAAACCTGAACAGAGAGTTGGAGAAAATTAATGAATGTCCACTTAATTATGAAGTCTCTTCCTTGCCTATCAATCTTCCAGAATATAGTAATGGTATATATTTCAAGGGTCCCAAATGAGAAATTTGTTTTGATCTCACCACTTGGAAAATGGGTGCATTCTCTGAGTGGAAAGAAAATTGCTAGCATCAAGTTGCAAATTATTTTCTTTTTAATGGAGAGGAAGAATTCCCTGGGAAAAGAAAAGAAGGATTCTGAACTAATAAAATCTTTTCACTGGCACATTGTATGGTGAAATGGTGAAGTCAAATCACATATTCACCAATTGTGTTATCAATGCTTGAAATATACACTTAGAGCAAAATAAGAATAGTGATCCAGGTTTCTAAAGATATGTATGTAACAATATTATAAAAGTGAGTTTTACAGTGTATGACATGATACTTTGGGAAAGTTTTTACTGGATTGATCAGGGAAGAAAAAGAGAAGTGAAGGACTCCTTTACTGAAGAAGGATAAACATGAAAACACCAAAGAAATGGGAAAAGTGCTGAATTAAAGTGACCAGAATATAAATTAATTTTATTTTGAGAAAAATTGAGAGGCAATCATTGTGTGAACCATGTCTTCAAAACAAGAGGCTCAAATTAAGATTAACAAAATGATTTAGGATTGGGACATTTAAAAAATAATTTTTCTTAACCTTTATTAAGTAGAGACACAAATTTTTATAAACAACAGTATAAGTGGTTTCAAGTATATTTCTATAATCTTTATTACAAGAAGATAAAATAAAGATGAATACATTTCACTGTCTTCTAGAGGCAGAGAAATGTCCATGATTTATTAAAATATAAGAGGTTCTGTTTTTAATCAGATGAGATTTGAATTCTTGCTATGAAAACAGTTAAATAAGCTGTTTCTTACAAATACAGTAGTTTCATTTTTTAAAAATTTCCTTTTCCCTACACTCTAGAGGATGATTAAAATGAGATGGTATGTGTGTGTTTGTATGTATGCACATACTAGCATACAAACAATGGATATGAATCTAAAATATGTATGGACATAGCAACATTCTTTGAGCTTTCTGGGTAAACTAGGTAGAGATGGATTATTATCCTGCTTTTCTTCTTTTCTTGTCTCAAATTTCACACCTTGAGACTTTGCCTTCAGCGCACTTCTATGAAATATGAATTATCTTGGTCAGATCTGAAGGCAGACTTAACAACAGAAGCAGAATAGCACCAGAACTACCAGACATTAACAAACTGTAGGAAAGAGAAGAGCCACCTTCCCACTAGCAGGTGCTAGTTGAGCCTCTGAGCCAGGAAAAAGGTGGTATGGAGTTCAGAAAAGCCGCAGTTGGAAACAGTCAAACACATTATATGGCTCCCAGCCCCTGTGCCTCCAGTGACCAAAAAAAAATTGTATATTTACTTTTGCAATTCTGGGCACCTTGCATTTTAACAAAGTGATGTCACAATCGGTCATTCAACCTCATGGTCTAAAGTTACTTTTTCTTTTAATAAGAGAATAATCCCATGACTCCACTCTCTCCTGACCAGAGGAAAAGGAGAACAAGCTAATGATGCAGTGGGGATTGGAGAAAGATAAAGAGAGGTCGGAGGGGCAAGACTGAGTACAACTTGTGGGAAAGAGTGTGCTGTGAGTAGAGAGGATGCAATGGTCGTGATTCTCATTTGCCACTTGAGTCAGCACTTTTCATCAATTTCTTGAATCCTTGTTGAAAATGGGGAAACTCCTGAAGATGACTCATTCTCTGTATGGGAGGGTATTGTGCATTTCCTTCCCTAAGCCATATTCTAACTATTCATCTTATTGTTATCTGGAGATAATTTGCCTTTGAAAGAGATACGATCCATCCTATCTAACACCCTTATTTCTTGTAACACCCAATAAGCCTCATAACCCTCAACAAAAACAACAATAATAAAACAGAATGGAACTCTCCTAATGGTCAATTAGAAAAATATTTCAAACCTTGATTTTGCTAGATTCCAAGATTCATCCTGGGCTAGAAATGTAAAAAATACTTCTCCCTACTTTTATACAGAAAGCTAATAAAAGTAGAAAAAAAAACCAGAATAATAATTAGTTTGCCCTTGGGGCAGGACCAGAGTAATGACAAATAGGGAAAAGAATTACTGACTTTCCTAATAAGCTCTTCTGTACTATGGAATTTAAAACATGTCCATGCTTTGCTTTTGCAAAATAATACACAAAAACAAAAGATTTAAGTCTCTAAGAAATGATTCATAACTTTAGGTTTCAAATGTCTTGAAAGATGGCACTTATTAATATATATCTACATGGGTGCTTAGTTACTCAGTCATGTCTGACTCTTTATGACCCCATGGACTGTAGTCAGCCAGGCTCTTCCTTCCACGGGGATTCTCCAGGCAAGAATACTGGAGTGCATTGTCATGCCCTCCTCCAGGGGATCTTCCCAACCCGGGGATTGAACCAAGGTCTCCTTCACTGCAGGCAGATTCTTTACCATATGAGCCACCTGGGAAGCCTGCATCTATCATAGTATGACTTCAGTTTCTTTCTTCAAATTCTCACTTTATTCAAGAGTAAAAATGGCTGTGGTGTGATAGTCACATTGTCTAACAAGAATAAATGGAAAGGTTTCTTTACATTGGCATGCTGTATGGTGAAATGGTAAAATTAAATCATATACTCTCAATTGTGTTATTAATGCTTAAAATATACAATTAGATACAACCTAAGAATATCAATAGAATGGGAAATACTAGAGATTTCTTCAAGAAAATGAGAGATACCAAGGGAATATTTCATGCAAAGATGGGCTATATGCAAGACAGAAAAAGAGACATAGATGTATAAAACAGACTTTTGGACTCTATGGGAGAAGGCGAGTGTGGGATGATCTGAGAGAACAGCATCGAAACATGTATATTATCAAGTGTGAAACAGATCGCCAGTCCAGGTTGGATGCATGAGACAAGTGCTCGGGGCTGGTGCACTGGGAAGACCCAGAGGGATGGGATGGGGAGGGAGGTGGGAGGGGGGTTCAGGATGGGGAACACATGTAAATCCATGGCTGATTCATGTCAATGTATGGCAAAAACCACTACAATATTGTAAAGTAATTAGC